TAGAGTGACCATAAGTGACCAATGGTAGGGTTTAACACAATATTGCCTTACATGGCTATAGGGATAAGGTACAAGGCGGATGTCCCTGGAGACAGGAAACTTCTTTGCCGCTGTGTCAGCATTCTATTCTCCAAGGGGCCCTGGCTAAACCTGAGGGGTTTACTACACCTCAGCTCTGGGAAACGCTGTCTCCTCACACAGAGCTGCATGAGATCTGCGAGCTGATCGGGCTGGAGCCCGGCACGCTGGAGAGGGCGTTGTGCTCGCGCACGGTGAAGGCGCGGGATGAGACGGTGCTCACCACCCTCACTGTCCCCCAGGTGAGCAGGAGCACCCCCACTTGTGGGGCTTGTGATATCTCAGGGCTTTAGCTGGTCAGGGTTACCCCAAAATACATTAGAGAGTCTCTTTTCCCAGCCTGGTGCTTGAAGGAGTCAGAACTCTTCAGTTCTTGGTCTCAAAGTTGTTTATTGTATCTTATTTATAAAATTCTTTCTTTTGTCCAGCTGAGGTTTGCTTAGCAAGACAGTGAGAGGCACTCTGCCCACCTTTTTATACTAAAAACTACATGTACAATATTTACAATTACTTCCCAATACCTATCACCTATGTTAGACACTGAGCTTCTACTCTAAACCAATCTAAAAGTGCCACCATCACAGCAGAAGATGGAGGCCAAGAAGAAGAAGGAGAAGCCCAGATTCCTCCATCTTGCCTCCTGAACCCCCATTCTAAATCCCCAAAATTCTACATTTTCACCCCGTGATTAATTCACTGTCATTCTACTCAAACTCTTGTGGCCTGTAACTCCTCACACAAAGCTGGTGATTGTTTCCAGCCCTTGGGGTGGTGTTAGTTTTTTATACTGAAAACTACCTGTACTTTATTTACAATAATTTTCCAATACCTATCACCTATGTTAGTTTCTCTCTATTCTAAACCAATCCAAAAGTGCCACTGTCACAGCAGAAGATGGAGACCAAGAAGAAGAAGGAGAAGGAGGACAGGACATGCCCAGATTCCTCCATCTTGCCTCCTGAACCCCCATTCTAAATCCCCAAAATTCTACATTTTCAGACCCTGATCGCCTGGCTCAGAGTCGAGATTGCGCGAGGCTTTTTCCAAATTTATACTTTGACAATTTAATAGATGCCCTTAATTATTAAATTGGATGATGCATTTAGAACAGGCTGATGCCTGGCAGCCCACCATGAGCCAGGACCAGCCCCTCTCCCCTCTCCCCAGGGTTACTACGGCCGGGACGCGCTGGCCAAGAACATCTACAGCCGCCTCTTTGACTGGCTGGTGAAGAGGATCAATGCCAGCATCCAGGTGAGATCCAGAGGATCCTGGAGCCCCAGAAGGAGCTTGGACCCTCACCCCAAACAGGGCTCAAAACCTCGTTGTGTCCCCAGGTGAAGTCAGACAAGCAGAGGAAGGTGATGGGCGTCCTGGACATTTACGGCTTTGAGATCTTCCAGGTGAGTGAAGGACCCACCAAACCCCATTCAGGAGGTTGGGAACAGCGTTTGAGACACAGGGCAGGAATGGGAGCTCGGAAAGCAGCTGCCATAAAGGATCCTTCTCTCTCAGGACAACGGCTTTGAGCAGTTCATCATCAACTACTGCAACGAGAAGCTGCAGCAGATCTTCATCCTGATGACGCTGAAGGAGGAGCAGGAGGAATACGTGCGAGAGGTACCTCCAGCCCTTCCCAGAGCACGGCCCCGAGGAGATTCAGCCTCCCTGGGATGGGGAAGTGCTGGAGACGGCTCTGCTGCACTTCCCTGCCTCTCCCTGCTCCCTGCTGAGAGCACATTCAATGGCAGGAAGGGATTTGGGATCCTCAATCCCGTGGCCGGACGTCCGGTTCCTGCCCCACACCAGCTGTGGTGTCCGTGGGGCAGGGTCTGGTTATTCCTGTGTCTGACCCACATCTCCTCTCAGGGCATCCAGTGGACCCCAGTGGAGTTTTTTGACAACAGCATCATCTGCAACTTGATTGAAAACGTGAGTTGTCCACTCGGTGCTGGGATCTTGGGGTTCCAGCTCCTCCCACAGCCCAAACTGGGATCCACTGGGGCTGGTTTAATTAAAATAATTAAATTTAAATTAATCCCCCAAACTGGGATTAATTTGGGCTGGTTTGGGGTGACACCTTGATTGAGAACATGAGTTGCCCACCCAGTGCTGAGATCTTGGGGTTCCAGCTCCCACCACAGCCCAAACTGGGATTCTTGATTGAAAATGTGAGTTGTCCACTCAGTGCTGGGATCTTGGGGTTCCAGCTCCCCTCCACAGCCCAAACTGGGATCCACTGGGGCTGGTTTAATTAAAATAATTAAATTTAATTACATTTAATTAAAATTTAATTAATCCCCCAAACTGGGATTAATTTGGGCTGGTTTGGGGTGACACCTTGATTGAGAACGTGAGTTGCCCACCCAGTGCTGGAATTTTTGGGGTTCCAGTTCCCACGACAGCCCAAACTGGGATTTACTGGGGCTGGTTTGGGGTGACACCTTGGGGTTTGGGGTGACACCTTGACTGAGAACATGAGTTGCCCACCCAGTGCTGGGATCTTGGGGATCCAGTTCCCCTCCACAGCCCAAACTGGGATTAATTTGGGCTGGTTTGGGGTGACACCATCCATCATGGTGACACCATCCATCGTGGTGACACCATCCATCGTGGTGACACCACCCATCACACAGAACACCACGGGGATCCTGGCCATGCTGGATGAGGAGTGCCTGAGGCCCGGCGTGGTCAACGAGGACACGTTCCTCACCAAACTCAACCAGCTCCTGGCCACACACAAGCACTATGAGAGCAAGGAGACACAGAACGCCCGGCGTGTCACCGACGCCAGCCTGCCACCACGCTGCTTCCGCATCCACCACTACGCCGGCAAGGTCTGGCTGTGCCTGATCCTCTTCCTGGTGCCACGCTCCTCTTCCCAGAGCCCTGATCCTCTTCCCAGAGCCCTGATCCTCTTCCCAGTGCTCCAGTCATCATCCCACAGCCCTGATCCTCTTCCCAGTGCCACGCTTCTCTTCCCAGCGCCCCAATCCTCTTCCCAGCTCCATGCTCCTTTTCCCAGTGCTCCAAGCACCCTGATCCTCTTC